TCTCAGATAGAGTATTAAGGAGAAGAAGAAAAGAATAGTACAAAGTGCTCAAAATTCTGCCTCAATTCCTCCCTTTTCTTTGGTCTACATAATTTTGTGGAGCATGGGACAACATACTTGCAATTTGGAAACACCACTATAACAAAAAAGCAAAAGAAATACCCCACCACCTTTTTTTTTTTTTTTTTAAATTTCCTATTCGTGCTAGTTTTGGAATTTGAATAATTTGGATTCACCTTTAGAAGTCCTATTTTTAAAGTAAAGTGATCAATACCAAAAATAACTATATTTTGAGAGTTAAATTCAAAAACTACTAATTAAAAATTGAGGGATACCTACCATCTACAACAACAATTCCTGTTGTAACCCCATCAATTTTCAAAAGTTACAGCTCGTTTGGATTTAGTGTAGTGACGTGGTTTCCTTGTTTTTTTTTGTATCATCTTACCTTTCCTTATTATTAAATATAATTTTATTTTATCATTTAGCCTACTAATTTTTTATATAATAATTCAACTCCATATCCTATTTTTTTTAATAATGTTGCAAGTTTATTCTTTATATTATTGGTGCGTAACATCATGAAACAACAACAAATGATACAGTCTATCCAAACATTGTATACAATATAATACAATCCAATACGATACGTTCAAACAAGTTGTTAAATAATTAAACGGAAAAGTAAGAGAGAAACTCTACCAAATATGTAGGCGTCGATATTAGAATTTTTCTCTTTTATTTATTTGGCCAACCACCTACTTTTAGTTTTGTTTCTTGATTTCCCGTCTCTTCAATCTCCATTTTTAAACAAACTGTCATTAATAACTTTTTAAGTTCTTAAAAGCCAACCTTTCAAGCGACTTTTTCCCCCTTTTCTTCTTTAGGGAGAAAATTATTGTTTGTCCAAAAACGTACAGGAAAATTTCAGTGTTTGGTCTTTGTGAATATTAACAAAATCAACTTGAATATACACAACCAGGGGTTATGATCGGATAAGGGTCTCTACCCCTTTCACAGGTTTCAGATTCGATTTTTGAGAAAATAAAAAAATCTTATTATACAACACGAATTTAAATTAGCCGATCCCCCAATAAAAATACTAGATATCGATCGACTTTGTTGCTTTCTTTTGTCACCAACTCTTCAATCTTCAATGCTAGCTCTTCTTAATTTTTTTTTATATTTAAAAAAAAAAAAAAAGGAACGATAAGTGCAAGCTAAAGCTACTTTAGAGGTAGGGGACTCTTGATAGCCCCCTTTTCCTTCTAGTAGTATTATTTTAAGTTATCAATTTTCTCTCTTGAAGTTTCTGATCCTAAAATTTGTGGTCCACAATTACAGAAGCAACCAAAATTTACCCAAATTTTATGTCATTTCACATTCACATATTTCAACATCTGAGTTATTAGCCCATAACATACACCAAAATGACAACGTTACTTTATTTGTTGTACTCACGTCACGTAATGTCAAATAATTTATCAGTCGAGCCATCGATTAGTTTAAGTAAAGTTGGGTAAAACGTGTGAATTAAATATAACTTTTTCACTTTATTTGGGTCTAATTCATCTTAAAGCTATAATATGATTTTTCTAAGATTAATCAAAATCTCCCACTTCTATTTAGACGTCTGACATACAAGTTTCTCCCAAGCTAAAATTATTACTAGTATTTTTTTTGGGTTTCTCACCCAGTGTCCGGTATTCGCATTGGAGTCCGACTATATACGGATTCGCGCCGCGTAGGGTTGTTCATGGTTCGGTTTCGGTCAGTTTTTCCCTAAAAAGAAACCAAACCAAGTAAGTCGGTTTTTCAAATATTGGAACCAAACCAAACAAATTAAGTCGGTTTTCTATCGATTCGATTTTTGTCGGATTTTCGATTTTTTCGGTTATTTATCGGTTTTTTTCTTAAGTATGAGACATACACTACCAAACGCATATTCCAGCGACTACATTTTCAACATAACACTATCAAATCAATTGCTCTTTGAGAAATCTATCATTTACCAAGATATATTGATGATAATTGAATCAAATAATGATGAATAATTTAACTACTCAATTAAAAATCTATTATTTTTAACATGGTATAAATTCTTGTACTTAGAAAAAGAAAACTACCAATCAAACTAGAATATAAATGCAAAGAATTAGATTATTAAATAGCAAAGAGCTAGACTAAAAATATAAATGACTAATATGTACCATAAAATTTAGAAACTTTATGTAAAAAATAAAAATATACATATAAGTAGGTGTAATAATAAGTTTAAATAGCTAGTTTTATAGTCGGTTTGGTTCGGTTTATTTCGGTTATTTTTTTAGTAAAACCAAAACCAAACCAAATTTGATCGGTTTTTAAAATTCAAAACCAAAACCAAACCAAACCTAAGAAGTACCGGGTTTTTTGGTCGGTTTGGTTTGGTTCGATTTTTTGAGTTTTTATGAACACCCCTAGTGCCGCGTAGGGGCCCATTCGAGGGAAGCGCTGATCACGCCCAACTACACCTTATAAAAATGTCTAAGCGGTCGCTGCAAATATAATTCGGTTTACAAGTACGGAGTCGAATCCCACAGAGAACTAAGGCTTAGCTATAGTCGTTCAATATTGCTAAGAAGACAAGCTCGAACAATTCCCATGTTATAAATATTAAGATTCTTGTATCTAATTAACTAACAAATTAAATTAGCAAAATTAACAACTAAAGATACCAAGGGTTAGAGACAAGATTAAGTAGGTCTAGAGTTATGATTTCCCCAATTGTCGGAATCCTTCTATGTCTTCTATAATTTCGCCTAAGTATTCTCTACCGAGCATGAGCGCTCTGCGTGTTGTAATTCTCTCCCGAATAATTACGATAATTTACTAGACATACTCCCCCGAGTTACGCTAGTTGGCTTTAATTACAGCTCACTTAGATCGCACCCAAGGTTTCGTTATCCCTAATCACACCTTTAAACCCTTGGTTATTAATTCCTCACATACGTCAGGAGTGGTGTTGTTCAACAACTACCTAAATATGCACTCTATCCCGAGTAATACATACTAAATAGGCACAGCTAATTGAGGGCCCTTCAATCAACCAGAAGAATAATATAGTTGAACAAATAGAGAAAATACAGGCTCAATTATATAAAAACATAACAAGAATTTATCCTACAAAAGGTTTCATCAAAACCCTAGATAACAAATTAGCTATTCATAATAGTACATAATACTAAAATACTAAAAGTCATAATCAACAGTGAAAAAAATAGGAAGAGGAAGGAAAAACTGGTAGAAGAATTCCCCGCCTTGCTCCTATTGTGTATCTGCCTCCTTAGGTCGAATCTGTGTCAAAAATTGGTCTCCTCTCCTCAAAATACCATTTTTTCATGTATATATACCAAGTAGGGTCGGGCCCAAATAATTATACCTTCTCCTACGCGAAAAAGGACAAGTTTTCAGGCCTGGACGTCCGCAGCCGCGGTCCGGGCGCGTACTTTCCCAGTGTACTGCCTCAGTCTGCGTCAGGTCCGTGGTCGCGGTTTCGACCGCGTTTTTCACCCTGTTCCGTTTGAAATTTGGAAAAACATAAAAACATGAAAGTTGTAGCCCTTTGAGTTATCTTTCTAACCATATTTTGTGGAACCCAAATGGAGTTGTGAGCGAAAAGTTATGTTTATTTTACTAGACAATGCGTAATATGCCTACTCGATTCTTCGTTTATTTGATCTATCATCTGTTGATCCCCGAATACGAGCCCGGCTTAATTCCTTGGGTTTTTACTCAGACTACAAAGCTCCAAATCATTTGAATTCATTCAATAACATCTATATAGCTCGGAATCACTCCTACAAGGCATAAAACACACAATTAGTGCAAAACACTAGCGTTTAAAGCGCAAACTCAACTAAAGTGCAGTAAATTAGAGTGTAATAATCGACTAAAATACGTAATTATAGCCAATCATCAAGCGCCGCGTAGAGACTCGAACTCGAGACCTCTGGTTAAGGGAAAAGCAGTTCCTTCACTGCACCACATCCTTTCGTGATGAAATTATTAGTATTGCCTATATGAGTTTTTCGCTTTTTGTCCTTAGCAAAGTCAGCATTGATTTGCAAAAATTATTGGTCTTTTAATATAACATTCCTCAATATGATTTTAGGCCTAGCTAGCAGATAAGTTACTCATAGATAGAAGAAGCTAATAATCGTTATATTTAAAAGAATAATGTTTTACTTCAATCAATTTTTTTCCCCATAGAAAAGTGTAGTGTCATGAACATTGAGATTCTTTTGGTATTATTTCATTTTGAAGGAAAAAAAAAGGAAAGTGGTTGGAAGTTTGAATATATATTGTATTTTGTACATATTGTCCCGACAAAAACCGATCACTTCTGTTATCTCTTTGCTTTGTTCCTCCCCATTAATTGTCTATTTTTTCTGTACATTGTTCTTTCCTACGGGACTCTCTTTGTTTTTACGTTTACTTTTTCTCAAGTTTAGCACATTCTTTAATTTCTTGTTACTGTTACCATTCGAGCCAACTCTGTGAGTTACTGAATCACTGGTCCGTTTATCAAATGTTTTTTTTTCATGCATCCTTCATTTAAAATCACTAACTGCACTAATTAAGTTCGTACCTTATATGTCCACTAAAAACTCTCTATATTGTTACACGAATAGTCGGCCAGATTTATTATTTACTATTTCTAGTCGTCAATTGACGTTCATAAATTATACATAGTCATACACATATTATACATATATATATATATTATACATTAAATATTTAATTAAGACGGAAAGAGTTAATTTTAATTATGAGAACTAGAACGCGAAATTTTTTATTAAGAGGGCTTAACTTTTACTATTCAATTAAAACGCTTGTGGTGCAACCGTTGTTTTCAATGGGGGAGTGCGAATATCAGCTAAGTTGGTGGCCTGCAGTCAATACATTCATTCACTGACAAAAACTCACTCCCTCCACCTTCCCCCCCTCCCCCCCCCCCCCCCAAAAAAAACTCAGTTGCCTCTGTAGCTTACGTGCTACTGGTGAATTTCATACCCACCCCACCCACTCAAAATATTCCACCACTCCATCACCAGAACCTCTAGCCAAGAAACAAAACCTCACACATTTCTTGTTTTAGTGTCTGCACATATATATTGGGGTTCTTGTCATATAAAGTTGAAATTTTTCTATTCCATAATTTAGTTTTAAGTATGGATAATGCCCTTCCTTACAGGGATTAGTGTCATTATTTAAGGTGAACCAAAAGGTGTGCTCATATATTTTTGTCACCATTTATTCTATTAAGCAAAAAACAGCTTAGCTCCAATTCCCACCAACCTTTTTTTTCATCTTTGTTTTTTTCTTCATGGTGTTTTGTGTCTGTCCCTTAAATGTTCTTTCCTGTGGGTCGTTCAATTGCTCAGTCCACTCATAAGGCCAAAGCTTTATAATTCTTGGATTTTGTTGCAATATCTTCAACTAAAGGGAGTGCTGCTCAACCACTAGCCATTTCAAGATTTTGCCTAGTATGAGCTTTTTTTCAAGTTCTTGATTAGCCTAGTAATGGATATTGAAAGTTGGGGTCATGAAAATCCAATAAAGGTTAGATTTTTGACACTATTGTATTACCCATGTTTGAAAAAAATTGAACTTTTGAGTCATTTTTGGTGTTCCAATTTTGTTGCAGAAAGAATCTTGGAGGACAGTTTTAACCTTAGCTTATCATAGTTTAGGTGTGGTGTATGGAGATTTGAGCACTTCACCTTTATATGTATACAAGAGCACATTTGCAGAGGATATTCATCATTCAGAGTCTAATGACGAGATATTTGGAGTTTTGTCATTTGTGTTTTGGACATTAACTCTTATTCCATTGCTTAAATATGTGTTCATTGTATTAAGAGCTGATGATAATGGTGAAGGTGGGACTTTTGCCTTGTATTCCTTATTGTGCCGTCATGCCCGTGTTAGTACTTTGCCTAATGGTCAATTGGCTGATGAGGATTTATATGAGTACAAGAATGATAGGAATTTGTCAGCTGATAGAATTGGAATGAGCTTGAAATCAACTCTTGAGAAACACAGATTCTTGAAGAAAATTTTGCTCATTTTAGCTTTGATTGGGACTTGTATGGTTATTGGTGATGGAGTCCTTACTCCTGCAATCTCAGGTATTTTTTACGCGGAGCATATATATAAAAATCACTGAAGTTTCAATATAATCAAGTTCTGAATCCGTGTTATAAAGGTTGAACTCATTGAATTTAATTTCTGATTAATCCGCCTTCGTGTATGATCCGTGTTAGAATTAGTTTATCTGCCAGATTGGAGATGTTGTGATGCTGATAAATTAATCCTTTCCTATTTATTTAATTTTATGGTGCATTGAATCTGCAGTGTTCTCTGCTGTCTCTGGACTTGAACTTTCAATGGCAAAGCATCATCACCAATGTGAGTCCAAATCTTTTTGGCAGATTTATTGTTCCCTTATGGCCCCTTGCCCGTACCCCTTTGTTGAATAAGATGAGGAATCAAAAGTCATATCTATATTATTTTACAGCTTTATTCCATTATGTTAATAGATTTTATCCTTGTTATGTCAAAGAATAATAATAGATGATATTCTATACTCTAGCCGGCTGATGAACGAAAAGAACCAGTGAGTGTTTATGGCCGAGGCGAGAAGATAATAATTTGAAATAGTTCCATATTGAACTGTTGGGGTAGATAGAGATCAGTTCCTTATGGCTGATCTCCAGTGATTATCTTTAGTTTTTCTTGATTCCACTGTCTTATTATATTTTGATTTATGCTTAGTTTATTCAGATGTATTCGGGCTAGATGTAACGAGACATGGGTATTTAATATAACAAAGTTGATTCACTTTTATCTGGAACCTTTTTCTCATGGTCGTGCAATTTGTGACATGGAGAGGTTACCAATATCTGATGAAGATGCATTATTGTGGGTCCCTTAATACTAAATTAAGAAAAAATGTATATGGTAATCAAAGTCATATCAACATCAATAAAGAAATAAAGTTAGGTGCTTTCCCCATTGTGATAGACCACATTGATGTTATCCTAATTTTTAAAGTGAGGTTTCAACTTGAGAAACATAGTTTTTTTATTTCATAAAGCAGAGGATGGTGGATAATGTTTTAACTTACTGGAAATTATGAATAAAATGCTTATTCTGTTGAAATAGAAAGGAAGAAAATATAGCACTAGTATGAATGTCTCTTGGAGCTCCTTAAAGACAAGTGCCCTCTCTGTTTGTTCTAGACTTCTGGCCTGGACAATTTATCTAATCCAACATTCTGACATTCTCACACAGGAAAAGATTTTTTTTACTGACCGACAAAATCCGCTCTAGGCTAACAACCTATAGGACCAACCGTAGCCTTCGAAACTAGGGGATAATGTTCCCGCTCCTATATACCTTTATCCATTTAAATACCAAGCTAAGTTCACATGGCGCGGGGCTCGAACCTGTGACCTAAGTCACAAGTCCATCAACCTTTATTGATACAACTTACAATTGTGGATTATGATTATGAATGTCCTCTAGAAAATATTAACCTAAATGATTGAGTATATCCCTTTGGCAGCGTAATGTTAACCAGTCTATAGAATTGTTTGGAAAATAAGCTAAGAAATCTTAGTATTCATATAAATATTGCCTATGTGCTCGTAAGTTGAAAAATTTACTCGAAGATGGACTCAAACCCATAACTTATGGATTTCTGTATTGGAAGTAGTCTGAGAATGTGGTTCAAACCAGACATATAATTACCAGAATAGTTCCACTCAATTGTATGATGAAGTTCCAACTTTCTGTCATACTATATCCTTCTGAGGTTACTTATATTCCTCAATGATAGTTAAATGATTTATAGAAAATCAATAGTCCATGAGCGAACCAAAGGAGAGAAGTCTGCCGTTTCCTTGCCTTTAATAATTTACTTGCAAAATGAACAGCAGGTAGTCGTCTGTAATATCTGAAAAATTGTCATGTTTTCTTACCTAGTACGGAGTGGCCATGATTTCTCTGGTTAGCTTTGAAATTATGCGAGTCAGAAGCTAACTTATTTTGTTTCTATAATTGATGAATTCTAGGTTTGTCTGGTAAAATGATGTCATTCATTAATATTGTCCTCTAAATCATGTTAACAGTATAGCTTCGCAAAAATCCTCTTGTTGAAACAAGAAGCAACAACCATGGAACGAATGAATAATGTGCTGAAATGTTTCTTTACCTTGCAGATGTAGAAGTTCCAGTTGCTTGTGTGATACTTGTGTTCTTATTTTTTCTCCAACACTATGGGACGCATCGAATAGGATTTCTATTTGCACCGATTGTGATTACATGGCTTTTGTGCATTAGTGCAATTGGGGTGTACAACATCTTCCACTGGAACCCCCATGTTTACCAAGCATTATCTCCATACTACATGTACAAATTCTTGAAGAAGACCCAAAGAGGAGGATGGATGTCCCTCGGTGGGATTTTATTATGTATAACAGGTACGCCATTCATTTGTGAAACTTTTTCTCTTGATGTTTTTGGTGGGAATTTGAAATTTTATACTCTCTTTGCTTGTCCATCTTTCAGGTTCAGAAGCTATGTTTGCTGATCTTGGACACTTTTCACAGCTGTCTATTCAGGTAATTAACTCAAATAATTTTGTTCTGCAAGTCTTGAAGCTTATTATTGTAGACTGTTCAATCAAGCACGGAACTGGTATTTACTAGGTTAAGTGAAAACAAAATTAGCTTTCAGCTGTGACTTAAAGTTACTACTTTGGATTATTTTAACCCATCTTTCATATTACTCCTGTCCTTATATGTTTGGCACTAAGATTGGCACTGAATGGTTTCGTATCAGTTTCTTGAACTTGTGTTCTGCGATGAGGAGCATTGATAGACAAACTGGTGCACAACTTTAGTGTTGCAAGGTGATTGAGGAATTAACGAAACTTGAATAGAGATACACTAGGCAGTCATACCTGCAAAAATCTCTGTTTTCCTAATCTATTCTGATCGCTTCAAGTTTTCCGAAATTTCCTTGGACTACAACAACAACCACCCAGTAATAATCCCACTAGTGGGGTCTGGGGAGGGTAGAGTGTATGCAGACCTTACCCCTACCCCTGAGGGTAGAGAGGCTGTTTCCGGGAGACCCTCGGCTCGAAGAAAAAAGATCTGCCACAACAACAGAAAACAGACAAACAATATCAGCATCGTAAGTGACAACGAATAAGTGGAAGGACAATAAAAAATTTCCTTGGACTGACTCTCATATTCTAAAGTCTTTCCAGGTTTATTTTCTTGAAATTGATTGGTCAAATCTAGTAATCTTAGCTTTGTAAGTTGCCTCAGCCTGCTTGAAAGCAGTATCCTGAGATGAACTATTTTCAACTTTGCTTCATAAGAGTGTTGTCGAATGCGTACCGCACATTTTGTAGGATACTGAGCTAATGTGTGTTGGAGTGTTTATTGGCAAACTGAGATTATCTGCCGATGTTTTGTTCAATGTGAATAAAGTTCCTTGTAGAGATACAGAGTTAAAATGCTTTACGTTGGCAACTGCAAATTCCACCAGAGTCCTAATAAGAGCTAATTCTCTGCAGATAGCTTTTACGTTTGTTGTTTACCCATCATTAATTCTTGCTTATATGGGACAAGCTGCGTATCTTTCCAAGCATCACGTTATCCAAGGTGATTACCACATTGGGTTCTATGTATCAGTACCTGGTAAGTACTTTGCTCCTCTTTTCGCTACATTCTCTCTCTTTTTTCCTTTCCTTTTTCTCTTAGTGCATTTGAACCTCGCAGCATGCATATCTAGTTCAAACATTTCAACTAATTTATATGTTCATCACTGTCCCAGAAAAACTACGGTATCCTGTTCTGGCTATTGCTATACTTGCTGCAGTGGTTGGAAGCCAGGCCATCATCACTGGGACGTTTTCCATAATCAAGCAATGCTCTGCTTTGGGTTGCTTCCCAAGGGTCAAAATAGTACATACATCGTCCAAAATCCATGGCCAGATTTACATTCCAGAGATAAACTGGACATTGATGTTGCTATGCTTGGCAGTTACTATTGGCTTCCGTGACACGAAACACATAAGCAATGCATCAGGTACCATTCAACAGCCAAATAATATGCATTGTCCATAGAATCACTAAAAGAGATTCGAGTTTGTTATATAAAGCCTGATTAAGTTTCACGTTTTTATTGTTTATTCCTCCTTTTCTTTTCTGATCGGAACAGAACTCTCTTTTAACTCATCGGTGGATAGAATAGGAAATTCATTTTCCTGATATTTTCTGATTTAAAATTGATCTTGGTAGTTTATTATAATAATAGAACTTCTTGATTAGTTATACTTTACTATAATAGGGAAAAATGCAAGGATAAGTTGCAAGCCACATAATGTAAAGACGGCCTTCCAAATGTGCACGTGTTATTTCAGATACTGAGAGGAAGTTAATTAACTCTCAACCTCATAGAAAATGTTATAGACAGAACAATGTTAGCTAACTGTCTGCAATGCTTACACGGAACTAGATATGCTGTTTTGCTTTTTCATTCAAACTACGCTTCTGTATTTCTAAGCTTAGAAGAATGTTAGGCCTACTTGTGTCAAGGTCTCAGTGTGACATTCGACTTTAGGTGTACCAAAATAAATATTCACCAGACAATCGTAACTTTCAATTATCATTTTGTGCATCAGGCAATTGAACAGTTTTAAAAGTAAACTGAATTTATTGAAATTCCCTCGATCTTAACCAAAAGGCTGAGGAAGTGTAGGACTAAATTTTGTTTGAAATCACTACGCGTATTTGTTTCAGTGCAACCTTTTTCTCTTGCAGGTCTGGCAGTTATAACTGTTATGCTGGTCACGACGTGCTTTATGTCTCTGGTCATTGTCCTGTGCTGGCACAAAAACGTGTTACTCGCCATTTGCTTTATATTCTTCTTTGGTTCCATTGAAGCCCTCTACTTTTCAGCTTCCCTAATCAAGTTCCGCGAAGGGGCCTGGGTACCGATCGTTCTCTCTTTGATATTTCTATTCGTCATGTACAGTTGGCATTACGGCACCCTGAAAAAGTACGAGTTTGATGTTGAAAACAAAATTCCCATCAACTGGCTGCTCACCTTGAGTCCTAACCTGGGTATTACACGGGTCCGTGGCATCGGCCTCATCCACACAGAGCTTGTTTCAGGAATTCCAGCTATTTTCTCCCATTTCGTCACCAACCTACCTGCTTTCCACCAGGTTCTTGTTTTCCTTTGTGTCAAGTCCGTACCAGTACCTCATGTGAGACCTGAAGAAAGGTTCTTGGTGGGAAGAATTGGACCCAAAGAGTACCGCGTCTACAGATGTATAGCACGATATGGTTATCGAGATATTCACATGGACGACGTAGAGTTCGAAAAAGATCTAGTTTGTAGCATAGCGGAATTCATCCGCTCAGAGGGACCAGCACAGAGTTTTGAAGCTGTTGAAGGTATAGACGACAACGAGAAACTGACAGTTATTGGAACAACTTCAACACATGTTGATGGAGTAACAATGTGCGAGGACGTAGACACTAAAGATACAGAAATGATCGAGATCAGTTCGCCAGAAATGCCAAGGAAGAGAGTGAGATTTCTGGTGCCAGAGAGTCCACAAATGGATTTAAGCGTTCGAGCTGAGTTGCAAGAACTGATGGAAGCGCGAGAAGCAGGCATGGCGTTTATACTGGGACATTGTTATGTAAGAGCAAAGAGAGGTTCAAGTTTGATAAAAAAACTGGTGGTTGACATAGGATATGACTTTTTGAGAAGGAATTGTCGCGGGCCAACCTATGCATTGAGTTTCCCTCGTGCTTCAACATTGGAGGTTGGAATGATTTACCATGTATAATTTGTGCTTTCCTTTTCTATTTAAAGGATAGAACTGTAGCATATGCTTTTTTTCTTCTTCTTACATTTGTATTTCAAATGTGAAAGCTGTAAATGTTGTGCTGGTACATGAATTTTGCTTTGTACAATGCAATACCACGAAAAAGAATACTGAATACTGAGCTTAGAGCTGCATGTATTGAATAAAGGGCTGAAAATATGAGGTTAACAAGTTGCCTACTGTCTTGCAGTCTTGCTATACATAAGTACACTCTATTATCAGGTATACATCTAGGGCTGTCAAATTTGGCCCAAGCCCAGATGACCTGCCCAACCCGCCCAAGGTTGGGTTGGTTATTGACCTGCCCATTTATTGAACTCAGCCCATCTTGACCCATCCCATTTAATGTTGGGTTGATTTTTAGCCCAAATTGATTCATGAGTAACTTTGTCAAAATATCATAGAAGTAATTTTTTTTGTTTGGTATGTTATATATGACCATAACTAAAGAAAAAAAGACTTATTTAGTAATTATACTATTCATAAGAAAATAATATATATTAAGTAAATCCTGATAAGAATTGGGCGAGTTGAGCAATGATCCAAATTTTAGCCTATTTTGGTCCAGCCCATTTTAGCCCAAGTTACTTTTGTGGCGGTTATTTGATCAGCCCAATTATTGTCACAACCCATTTTGATCTGCCCAAAATCGGCCCAAATCGCTTATTTGACACCCCTATATACATCTACTCTGTGAAAGACTATCACTTTTCGCTTTGTGTAGTAAAACATGTACAGTTTAGGAGACTCACAGGTATAATAAAACATGTATACGCTAGTTTAGGAGACTTACAGGTTTCTCCTTTACGGAAGCGCATTTACAACAATCACGACTTGTGTCACCGGTCGTTGGGAATGCTCAAATGACAAATGAATACACTTGTTTCCACATCCGAATTATCCCTCTTGGATGCAGAGAACTACTAACCCTAGCCACCCTCCCTTATGAACTGCATTAAGGCTTAGGATTAGACTGCCTAATGACCAGCTTATTAGCTAGCACCTCTTCTAGATGTACTAGACCCAAAAGGTTATTTTTTTCCAACACGCTGATTATAAATTATATACACTAGTTTAACCTAGGATAGCATATTAGTTATTATTTTTACCATGTTACCAATTAATGTTTTCTTAAGGATTTATATGCTACCGTTTTTACCTTATTATTGTGTTGATATTTTTCATATTATTAGTTCATAAAACTTAAAGTCTTTTGTAATTATGCTGTAACATGTAGAACTTTTGGATAAATGTGAATCTTTTAGTTGAGTAGAGAGGACGCATTGCATCTTGGAACATCAAACTCAGCATTAAGAAATGGCTAAAAGTTGAGTCGACATGCCAAGATTGCTTATTCTTTCTTGACAAAACGTGATGATTAGGAAAAAGGACAATTATACCATCCTTTTTTAGTCTCAAATTACCGAACCCCAATGGGATTACAACTTTTATACAATCTTCTTAATGACAATTAGAGAAACAAACAAAAAGAGAAAAAGAAAAAGGAAGTAAGACGCGAGAAACAAGAAGAGAAGAATAACAAGCATTATTCTTAAGATTGATTTTGCGGTTTGGTTGTTACAACAAGATTAGTATAGTTAGTTAAAAATTCCACGTGTATAACTGCACCTTCTTTTTAATTTTTCCCTGCTACTACTATTTACCAATTGAGTTTAGCTTTTATACACGAAAATATTTTAAAATCTATTAAAACACTTGAAAATTAATTATAAATAGTTATTTTGTTAGTTGTTAAAGTACTAATTTGAAAAACAAGATGTACACGGTCAAGCCTCGTTTGTTCCGGACTTTTTGGTTTTTATATCGAAGTGCTGTTATAGAAAATATATATTATAACATAGCATAGAAATTGGTTCCAAAAGAAACTTAGCTTTTATAGTGAATGTCGCTTAATGATCAAAGAGAATCATGAGATCTTCGGTTCAAATTTCAGTGGAGATAAAAGCATTAGGTTATTTTTTCTTCTCTATCTAAGTCATGATAGACAAAATTATTCGCGAAAGCTCTCTTAGCAGAAACCCTGTAAAATTAGTCGAGCAGTGGCGTACGCAGCATTTTTTATAAGCGGTGTCACTATTTCTAGTAAGAGGCCCGTAACAGTCAAAAAATATTTTGTGGAGCCAAGGAACTTGAAGCTGTCAACCACTATACTACTAAGCTGTTTTGTTGCAAGTGATGTCACTTTTTATGCTTTTATCTTGTATTTCTGTTTTACTTATTATTTTTATGCATATAAATATTAAAAAAATTCGACTTGGGTCCATGTAAATCCGCCCGTGTAGTCGAGTACGCAAGCTGTCCGAACATTAACATTATAAAAAAACATTGTTTACATAATAATTCTTACACTATGTAAGTGAAATCTTAAAAATAAAAAAGTAAAAAAAAAGTGTAACCGGCTTAGCAGACGCACGCATGAGTTATGATTCATCGGTTCTCTGACATATGTTGTTGTTGTTTGTCTAGGGAAGATAACTTTCTAGACGAAAATGTCAGCATTAACCTTATCAATCTCGATTACAGTACCAGACTATGCAAGGGTATTTCAGACAATTCATCTCCTTGTCAGCCATGCGCCCACCTGCCACCCCATCTTAAATCTTAACTCAATAATCTCACTGTGGACCTGCAATCCATTCTACTGTTTATTAAAGAAAAATTAACAAGGAAAAGTAGAAGCATTTGATTCCTCTCTTTCTTTTAACCCAATTTTTGAATAGAGTTAACTTCAAGTTTTTAGCTTCCTTAATATAATACTCTCTGTTTCACTGTATATATGTCTGCTCTGTCCTTTCACTAAAGTAAAAAGTTTTATATGCTGATTACCATGTATAAAGTCTTAAGAGACATTGTTTGTGAGCTTTTTGTCTACCAGTGTTTTTGCCTATAATTAAAATGCTCATGTTATTTCAACTTAACTGACCATTTCAAGAACCATGAGAAGGAATTTTATCATCTTATCTCTCATAGTTTTTCTTCTACTTCTTGAATTTTCATCAGCCTCAGCCTCAGCCACCCCTGCTGCAAGTTAGTGCATGTTTTCTTTGTTTAACTCAATGACCCCTTAATCTCAAATCTTTGTTTGTTTAATAAAGTTGCAGTCTTTTTCATTTATATGCAGAGATTGTTGGTGGGGTTGTCACAAATGTTGCTTCTGTGCTATTTAAGTGGTTGTGGTCACTAAAATCGCCGGCAAAAACAGGTACATTCTTGGTATATTTCCCATGATTTTTTTTTTGTTTCAATTGTTAGTGAATTGTGGAAGGGGAGCCTTGGCGTAACGGGTAAAGTTGTTGCCACGTGACCAGAAGGTTACGGATTCAAGCCGTGGAAACAGTCTCTTGCAGGAATGCAAGCTAAGACTGCGTACAATAGGCCCTTGTGGTCCGGTCCAGACCCCGCGCATAAGGGGAGCTTAGTGCACCGGGCTGCCCTGCTAATGAATTGCGCTTTTTGATTGTTTATGGAAATGATGGGGTTTGTTTGATTAATCAGCTGTTTCCAGCCGTTCGATGGTCAAGTTTGAGAGTGGATATATTGTTGAAACTGTGTTTGATGGAAGCAAGCTGGGAATTGAACCTTACTCAGTACAAGTTTCTTCAACCGGAGAGGTTCTCATTTTGGACTCTGAGAATAGTAATATTTACAGGGTTTCAACACCATTGTCTCGATGTAAGTTGCTAAATTAGAGCGCTTCATTTGGTTCTGCACTTCTGTAACACTAAGAGACCTCTTCTACCAGGGTTTCAACCCTAATTGTGAAGCTTAAGTTGTTAGATGGAATATACTTTTATTTACTTAATTATTTTTCAAACGCACGCCGCTTAATTCTTTTTCATGGCCAAGCACGTGGATGACACTTGAACAATACTTCTGTCTGATTCCATATTGAGATGTGTGTCTATCTCATCTAAAGGCTTAAGCCGTTAAAAGCACGTATTTTTGGTTAATTATGTCTTCAGTACTGGGATATACAATATCACACTATCTTTATATGTTCATTATGATTGTGTTGGCATATTCTAGGGACAAAGTTCCTTGAGTGAGTGCTAGGCTAACTCCTCTGCTTTATTCTTTTCTGGAACTGAGTGACACATCCATTTTTATGGGGTCCTCCATCTTTTTCAATCCAAGATAAAAGGTTGTGTCTCTTGTGGGGAAAGAATTTAGGCATGCCTCTCTACTATTCATTACCTGCCAATTACTTTAGCCTTTTCTTTCAGCAGGAAGTTAGACTGCTTGAGTTCACAGGACTATTATCCTGCCTATAATGGAGATTGTGCAATAGTCAAATCTCAACACATTACACATACTTGGTCATCCTAGGTGGTCCTTAAATGGAAATTACAATATATCTTCGAATACTTTTAGCTCAACAGTTTTAAAGCATATAGGAAAGAAATAATCATGCTCTAAACTATTGAATACTTGCACTGTTTTCATGCTCGCATTCTTTTCTTTTTCTTCTGAAGAATGTTTCCCGTCATACTAAACACACCTTTAAGTTGCCTTCATTTTCTTTTGTGACCAACTCCTTCACTTGCTTCCATAATTTACTGATCCTTTCCTATCCAATTAAAATGAGCTAATTTTTAATTTGCTAGGGCAAGAGTGGTGTTTTTCATCTCTCTCACTTGTAAAATTCCATTATGCTCTATAGTTCAGTTTCACTCACTTCTTTTCCTTATTTTTGGATGAAGGAGATGTGTGTTTTACATGCAGACATGCACTTTTATTGAGCAATGTGATGTTATATTTGAATCAAATTTGACTTGTTGATTGAGTCATACGTTTGAACTGTAGATAGCCGTCCAAAATTAGTTGCCGGATCTCCTGAAGGATACTCGGGGCATGTGGATGGGAGGCTACGAGAAGCAAGGATGGACCATCCTAAAGGACTTGCCATGGATGATCAAGGAAATATATATGTTGCAGATACCATAAATATGGCTATCAGAAAAATTAGTGATGCTGGTAAATTTTCGATGTCTGCCTCACCTTTGTCTTGATTGATGCTTTCTACTCTGGAATCTAAATGTTACATGCATGTGATTGTAGTACAATCGCACAGTAATACTAGTTTGATAAGAAAACTAACAAGTTAAATCGTGTAATGAGCATGACTTCAGCATATTTTCTGTGCAGGAGTTGTAACTATTGCTGGAGGGAAGTCGGTCCGAGGTGGAGGTCACATTGATGGGCCAAGTGAAGATGCAAAGTTTTCCGACGACTTTGATGTGGTTTATGTTGGAAGCAGCTGTTCACTTCTAGTTATAGACAGAGGAAACAGGGCAATTAGAGAAATTCAGCTCAATGATGATGACTGTTCACACAACCAGTTTGACGACAACAATCTCCATCTTGGTAAAATCGTAACTTTCTAATTCTTTCCATTTATCAATTAATTCACCGCTGATTACAAAAGAAAGTTCAGAAGAAAGTATATTTTCATCCTTGCAGGTGTGGCACTGCTTTGTGCTGCTGGATTTTTCGGTTACATGCTCGCTTTATTACAACGTAGAATTGGAGCGCTATTTTCATCAAACAGCGTAAGCAACTAATGACCTTGATTAATTCCTTTCATAGGAATTGGGACAAAAAGGATGGATAACACAAAGGCAGGAAGATGGATAAATGAGCATAGAATATTTTAGGAATCCAAGAAATTTTCGTTATCTATGTCGAGGCCAAACTCACTACACATGTAGATTAACAGAATGGATGAATTAGTGCAGAACATCATGCATTTCCTTTTTGATTGGCAGAACGATATTTTTATGCATTTCCTTTTTGGTTGGCAGAACGATCAACGGACTCCTGTTAGGGGTGTGCAGCATGCAACGTATCAGAGAAATACGAAGTCAGTGAGGCCTCCCTTAATTCCGCCAGATGATGAATACGATAAACCAGAGGAAAACCTGTTTCTGTCTCTGGGAAGGCTTGTTCTGAACACAGGTTCAACTGTGGGTGAAATATTCGGAGGAATGTTCTCGGGTTTTAGAAAGAAGCATTACCCCCATCATGTCCAGCAGCATTACCATTACCCTCACAAACAATCAAGTGCATGGCCAATGCAGGAAAGCTATGTAATTCGAGATGAAGACGAGGCCCCGTCCCTAGACACGAGAGATCCTACACCCCGTAAAACCTATCCATTAATGAACAAAGACCCAGAGAAAGCACGACATATGAGACAAAGTCAATCCCATTATGGAGGATGGAATGGGAATGCACATGGGCACGGCAATTTTCAGCAACATCAACAACAATTTCTGCCACAAGTATATCAGCATCACGAGAAGCACCAGTCGTCTAGTCCTCAAACATACTACGAGCAAAGCTGTGAATCAAACGAGATTGTGTTTGGAGCAGTTCAAGAACAGGATGGACGACGTGAAACCATGGTGATAAAGGCTGTTGATTATGGGGATCCTGCTTATAATATTCACAACATCCGATCCAGGTACAACTACAACACGGGTTACTCATTCGGATATTGAATAAAATACATAATGCAAATTGCTAGACTATAGTGTAGACATCAATCTGGACTATGTCTGGATTTCACTTTCTTGTAGTATCTTTCACAGGGAATGAATATGATAATAGAAAGTAGCACAACAGAAGTGAGATGAATTGTTCTAGAGGGGGAACCTTGAGCAACGATAGAGTTGTTTCCGCGTGACCTATAGGTCATTGGTTCTAGCTGTGGATGCAGCCAGTAATGCTTGCATTAGAGTAGGCTGTCTACATCAAACCCCTTAGGGTGCGGCGCTTCCCCGAACCCTGCGTGAACGCGGGATGCTTTGTGTACCGGGTCTGCCCATTTTATCATTTATCATGCTCTTATAGTGAATCTTTTTGTCATGCATCTCACTGGAAATATATTTTTTCTTCTAGTAGCAGACATTTACTTAGAAGGGGTGAAAATGGGACAAATTTTACATTTGGTAGCCTGACTGAAACGTTTTCGAAAGATAAAGGATATGGAAGTTCGGTTTTAAGGAATGATTCCATTGGGTTTATAAGCAAGGTTTTTTTTTTTTTTTTTTTAGCTCGCGGTAGAAACTATTTACATATAAACATTGTATAATTTTTATATATAATATACTGAATTTTTATATTTACATAAAAATTTATATATTTTTCGGTTATTATTTTGAGAGTGGCTATACAATGTTAATTACTCGCAAGATATAAGTCCAAATATGCTTAAAATTATTTAGCACTTTGGTAATTAAGTTCCACGAGTTAATATTTTCTGAGCCTCTACTTTGCATTAATTTTTTATAATAAATGTGAAATTACTAGAAGGATGATGGATAACTAGAAAAACTCTGTTTGAATTTTAATCAAATAGGAAATTGTCTTATATCTTAGCTAGGCACAAGAAATTATTTGTTTAACTACGCCTTGCCATGCAATTTCTGATTCTCTTACCAATGAAGAATACAACACATGCTCACCACTAATTATTCCCAGCTTAATAGAAACCACTATCACCAAACCAAATAATCCACTGATTGACGTGCAAGGTTCAACGAGTGAGTTGGTCAAAAGAGACTGGTATATCAGTCACTATATGTTGTCATTTTTTAATATAAATTTTAAGAGAAATGAAATGACAAGAAACTTGAGATATTAGAGCTTAGTTGAGTTTTTTTTTAGCTCGTAACGATATTGTCCACTTTAGATCTATGCTTATACAGGTCTTTATGTGCCCGGGTAGATTTACGTTACAATACATCCAAACCTAATACTTTTAACGTAGAACATAATTTTATGTGTAAAATTTTGTTAAAATTATAATTAATAGTAAGTATAACCTCATAGCAGTATATAGAGGTGGGGAAGGGGAAACGGGGAGGGGAGGGGATTATAAGGTGGAATATCGAATTCTCATCAATAAGGTGAAAAATTTAAGCAGCTAGTCAAATTTTCCTATTGAGCTTCTATGATTGACAGTCATAACAATATGTTGTCGAAGATGATTGGTGTTGCTTTCAAACGCACACACAAGTATACGTGGTCGACAAGTAATATAGGATTGTAAGTCTAGATATCGTATCCACAGGGATTTGTGATTAACTATCAACTAAATTAAACCCAAGCAATTAATCTATTCAAGCAAATCCTTAAGTATAAATATTTAACTAAAATTAATCTAGAGTAACATATTAAGAGATAAAAGAAAACAAGTTGGCGAATTATAAAGACGAATTCAATATGAGTGAATATTCTAGAGCTATGGGTTAGCTAACAATCCCGTTGAGTTTTCCACTTAAATCGCCTAATTAATTTATCTGGTTTATTGGTTGACATGGTTAATATTACTTGTAGCCTTCTCCCGAAGTACAACTCGCCTATTCAAGCTAATGCCTATATTCCTATGGAATTAGAATTAACAAGAACGCATTAATAATTCCTGTATAGTTACCAAACAAGGCGATTAAGTATATTCCTATCCTAACCGCAAATTCCCCCCCCCCCCCCCCCCCCCCCCCAGAGTTAAGATCTTGCTCTACTCAATCTTATATGCAATCTAGAATTCCCTCTCTCGAGTTCAATCCTAGATTCGTAGATAGTATTCAATTGGTGATTAAGCAATCAAATAATTAAGCGCAAGATTGAATAAATAAACCAATATGATAAAATAATAAGTACAATTCAAGCTTCAAACTATAACGTTCATGTAGCACCCAAAACCCTAGAACTAATAAACTATAAAGTTAAAAAAAGAGAAGAGAAGAAAAATTAGTTTGAAGCCTCCTCCAAGCGTAGTGTGTGTTCCCCACGTGATTTCTCCTTCAATGTATGTTAGATCTCCTCTAAATTAGGTTTAGAACACCTTTTATACGAGTTGGGGTCATGTAGGATCGAAATAACCTTATGCCGGACAAAATAGGAGAACTCGTAACACAGCGCCAGGGCAAGCGCTTCACGTTCCTTTGCTGCGTTCCCGTCATCAACTGCATTCTAAATGCAATTGTATCAAATATCCTTTTTCTTGTCTTCAAATTGGGGGACCAAACTCAATGTCCCCCTTTTTTTTTATTCATTTAATTCTCTTTCTTTTTCTTCTGTATTTTATTCAATTTTACTCCAAATCTCTTCATCTCATACCGATTTATTTCTACACAATTAAAATATAATATTAAATATAAATAAATATAATTTATATTCAAAAGACAATTAAAAAGTGTATAATGTGAAGCAATAATAATATAATATATGCATTTTTGGTCGATTATCAATTGAATTGCACATTTCATGTAATACCTCCTAGATTATGTTAATAACACCGGGTTGTAACATATAAACATGATCATAATCACAATCACAAACAGAAGGAACGACTAATGAATGCTTTAACACCCATTACTTTTGACAAGAGTACGTAGGTCTCGCCAAGAACATGTCATTAACTCATACCAGTTTGGCATTCTCTCAAATGAAACTCCAGAATCATGAATCCCCAAGCCAAAAACCACCCAAACCACCGGATATTGAGCATGACATATCCATACAATCCAACCTAGATGCCAGATTAGCCTTCAAGGACATGCTAATAACATCCAATCCGATGATGTTAGATGCAAACCTAATCCATAAAGATATAGAGCTAACGGACACCTCGCAAGTGGAAGAAAAGAATGATAATCCGGAGCCATTCATTACAGAAGGTATTAAGGTTATTGCTTTGTCAGAAGAAGATAGGCAAATAATTTATGAACCTTGGAAGTATGCAATCATAGTGAAATTAGTGGACAAACGTATGATGCACCTGTTGGACTTTAAAGGCATTGAGCTTCAAAGACTTTAAGCATTGGGCTTTAAGTATAAGAGTGTGAGTTGGAAATGGTGGAAAATAAAATGGAGGAAAATGAAAATTTGAATTGAGCTTTTGACTTGCACTTTGTCCCTCATTGGTGAGGGACAACTACATTTGTGTGCTTATATATAGAATCACTTCTTAAAGCTCTTAAAAGGAGTTGAAGAGAATGATCCCTCGCGCCATCGTCGTCGCTCGTTGAATTGAGCTTTTGACTTGTACTTTGTCCCTCATTGGTGAGGGACAACTACATTTGTGTGCTTATATATAGAATCACTTCTTAAAGCTCTTAAAAGGAGTTGAAGAGAATGATCCCTCGCGCCATCGTCGTCGCTCGCTCGGCTCGACTTCGGCTTTGGATTTGGCTTTGGATTTGGATCGATAAGATTATTTTTGGACAAAATTTATTTAATTAATTATTTAATAATTAATTAAATGCCAGATCACTGCTGAAGATTCAGAAGGATAGTCTGGCCGCGGTCCTGGCGTAATCGCGGTAGGACCGCGCCAGAACCCTGCTGCAGATTCAGAAGGCCACTCTGGCCGCGGTCCTGGCGTAACCGCGGCTGGCCGCGTAAACTTCTGAAAAGGCACCTTTTTCAGAACAAACATCACACCTCTTCCAATAATTGCCTATAAATTCTGAGGCATGGCTTCGTTTTTAACACACCAAAAACATTACAGAACTTCCTTCTTTCTGAAAATACTGCATTCTAATTCGGAGTCTCTCTCTCTCAAATTCGTAAGTGTGATTTTGCTCCGTTCTTTAAGTTCGTTGGTATCCTGCAGTTTGTATTGCCACTGTTGCAGGAAGGTTTATTCCGTTTTATCCTGGGAGGATTTAATCCATTACCTTGGCAACGTGTGAGGGGGTTAAAATTCCTTAAGGACGCACAAGCAAATTGTGGACTCGGAATATTTCTTAATCTTTACTATTTTTCCAATTTCTTTTATTCTTCTAACAGTTTTTCTGATTTTGTGTTTTAACACAGTAGCAACAACATGTTTAAAGAATTTTATACTAACGTTTCTGTGTTGAAATATATATTAAACTGTTATCTATATTTTGTATACTATTTTGGTGATTAAAGCTTTCGTGCTTTCTACTCCAATAATTGTTCTGTCCGGTTTAAAGTATATCAAAACTTTACCGGAATAATAAACGTACGGGTTTGAAGTATATAAAAACTTCACCATTGTTACGTGTTGTATGTTTGGTTTGGTATTCAGTTTGAAGATATCAAAACTTTACTGATTTAACCAAGTTCTGTTTTGTTTCCAACCTTACAGAAAAATGACGAATGAAAACCAAACTAATGGAAATGTTGAGGGAACGGGTGCTACTGTTACGAGTGTTGCTGCCTCGTCAAGCCGTTCAACTCCTGCTCATGCTATGGCACCAGCAGAAAAACCCGAAAAATTTTCCGGTATTGACTTCAAACGTTGGCAAATGAAGATGCTCTTCTATCTTACTACGTTGAGTTTGCAACGATTCATCAAGGAGGATCCTCCGGTCCTGGCTGAAAACATTCCAGATGACGAACGATGTGTTGTAACTGAAGCATGGAAACATTCTGATTTCTTGTGCAAGAACTACATCTTGAGTTGTTTGGAAGATAGCCTGTACAATGTCTATAGTGTCATGGAAACATCAAAAGCGTTATGGAATGCGCTTGAGAAAAAGTACAAGACTGAGGATGCCGGACTTAAGAAGTTCGTGGCTGCAAGGTTTTTGGATTTCAAGATGATTGACACTAGGTCGGTCATAACTCAAGTCCAAGAA